AGCGTGGGAAGGAAAATGAGAAGGGGAAGGAAACCTGGAAGGAGGCGGGGCCGGCCGCGCGCGCGCCCGCGGATGGCGCGGGAGGGAAGAGGCGGGAGGGGGGGGTAGGCGAGGCGCCGAGGCGCCCCTGCCCCGCCCGCGTTGCGCCATTTGGATTTCGCCGCGAATGTTGCCTTGGAAGGAGGGGACTCGCCACGTCACCGCTGGACAGGATCCGAAACTCGACTAAAAACGGATAAGAGGGAAAGAGAGAAAGAGGGAAAGAAAGGAAATCAGCAGGAGTGGGTTCCTTCCACAAAGGTGGCACAACATAGCCGAAAAAAAAAAGATAAGGCCTCCCCTCTCCCCCTCACTATCTGCTTTTGAGGCTAAGAAAAGAAAAGGGTGAGTGCTTTTTCTACACCGCCGCTGTTTTACCCTTCGCGAATTGGCAATTTCCTTACATACGCCACGCCACATGCTCGATGCTGGTTATACACATTTCATTCGTGCAAAGTGATACAATCTGGGGTCGCGGTAGGGTAGCTGATTAGCGCTTCTCCTCGTTTACCACCACTTCCACCCCCTCTTCTCCCTCTTCTCTCTCCTCACACGCGCTCTCCTCGGCGATACGGCAACGGTAGATTCTGGAAACGCACATCGCCTCGTCGGTGTGTAAGACGTAAACCGTGGAGCCATCCTTGCTGACGGCCACCCCCCGTAGCTGGGAGCCGGGCACCCCAATCGTCCCCTTCTCCCTGCCATCCCGCCCCAAAACCACCACGACGCCCTCAGGGCGATTGTTCCGCTCCTCCTCCCCCGCCCCATCCTGAGGAAGCTCGTCGAGCGGTTCCAGCAGCTCCTGGGGTTCGTAAAGCGCGACGAAGATGCTGCCATCCTTCGGGCTCACGGCAACCGCGGTGGGGCCGAAGGAGCCGTTGAAACGATAAAACACCGAATCCGCGTAATGATTCCCCCGCGGAACGTAACGCAGGAGACGATTCGCCGACCGCTCGCAGACAAACACACACCCATCCGGGCCGACCGCGATCCCGGCGGGCTGTTGCAGCCCGGAGGCGCACAGCGAAACGATCTGCCGCAGCCCGCCGAGTTCGCGGTAGATCGCACCGATCGGATTCGTGATCGACGACTCCCCTTCCCCGCCGGCATCCGTGAAAAAGAGCTCCCCGGTCGTCGGCGAAACCGCCAGGGCGCTCGGGGAGGTGAAGCGTCGCCCCTCGAACCCATTGGCGTAGACGGGAATCCGCTGAAAGGGGGGCCCCGCGGCCCCCATGGCGATCCGCTCTACCGATCGCGCGAGGGAAAGGCTGATGAAAAGATCGCCGCTCAAAGGGTCGACCGCGACGCCGCCGAGGGCGTCATCGGTGCGCGCGAGCACCGTCAACCCGCCCTTGACGCCCGCCAGATCGCCGCAGAGGACCTCGCCGGTGAAGGCGCTCGTCAGGATCATTCGCCCTCGAGCATCATCGAGGGCGAGACTCGTGAAAACATGCTTGGTGGTCTCTAGAAATAGCTCCATTCAAAATCTCTAAGAGTCAATAATAATAAACGTGAAAGTAATAATAATGGGATTAGGTGTTTGTTGGACTTTCCCGTCAAAAGTTCGTATTGAACCTCCGGGGGTACCTCTGGTTCAGAAAGGATAAGAAAGGCGAAGTAATGGACTGTGAGAAGAATCCCGTACGGCATGCATATCGATATGAACAAAAGCGCGAAGAACGCAACTCGGATTGTCCCCCTACCGGACAAAGGAAACCGGATGGGGTTGCCTCCTCGCTATGTCGTTCGTCTGAATACCGAATGGGGGTTCTTTTTTAGATTTATTTACTTACACTTAACGAATTGAACGATCATCCTCCTCAAGTGGCAATAGGATGATAATTCACCCCGTTACTAATGTATTCACTTCCATAGGATTGGGAAAAATGGTTTTGTTTTTCTTTACAAAGATAAGCAATGTAGACCACATCCCATCAAGGGTGATCTTCATGAACTTACTAAGCATTCCGTGTGCTCAGAGGCTTTAAGAGATCACCCACTCGCCGATCCTCATCGATCCATCCACTCCCGCACCCGGAGCTTCCATCTCCGGAAGAAACGATGTTGGATCGACGGCTGCGGATCGCCTGGCCACCGGCGTGCCCGCATCATCGTCCTCCTCGCTGCTGTTGCACGCGCTGCCATCGCTAAGCTCGTGCAGTAGCGCCCGCATATCATCGATGCTTGCAGGCTCCCTGGTTTCCTCATCGGCTAGATCCTTGGACGCCTTTCCGCCCGACGCTGTCGCCGCAGACGCCTCCATCAACTTAATATGCTTCTCCTGCTTCATCCAATAGTTGAGGAAGAGAAACTGAAGCAACAACCCACACACCCATCGCATCTCTGTGATCTCGGGCACCACCCCGTGCGCCATCCGCTGCCGAACCTCCACCGCCTCCTCCGGGAAGTCGATCTTGCGGGCGCGTTTGCGGTACGTATCCCCGGACTCCCCTTTCGCAAAGGAGCCGGTCATGACGTGAACGCAGCGGGAGATGGCGGCGCCATAGGCCTGCGCGAGCTCACGCGCCCCCACCAAGGCGTTCATCTCATCCATCCCAACCACCCTCATCAGCAGCTCCGTGGATTCGACGTAAGCCGGGAGAGGCCGGTGCTGCCGCGATCGCGCACGCCACACCGCCATCGTCTCAAAGGCGCGGGCCCTCACCGCCGGCGTCGCGTCGGGGCGGAAGAGATCCGCCTTCACCCGACGCCACTCCCCCCAGTCGGAGCCGAAGACGAAGCCGTGCACCGCCGGCACGGGGGCCGTTCGCCCTGTCGAAGGCTCCGCTTCCGTCGTCGTTTCCTGGTGGAATTGGGCTTCCGTCTTTGCGTCGGTTTGGGGGTTCGGCTTCGTCTCGGGGGTCGTTTCCGTCCTCGGCCGGGGTTTCGGGGCGTCGAGGTCGTGCAGCCCTTCCAGCCCGCGTTTGATGCGGGTCCCGCGAAGGCGTCTCTGGGCCTGCGCCTCGACGTCCCGCCGTGATCGCATCTCGTCGTCGCCTTAGAGTAGCGAAGCCTTGACTATCGATGTGGTGGTGGTAGTGGTGGTGGTGGCTGCTATGGAGTTCCACCCTATCTCACGCTCCTTTTACCAGCCACACAAAACGAGGGGGAAAGGGATAGACGAAAAATGTAGAAAGCTAGTGAGATAGAGAAGAAATTTCAAGGGGATGGAAACTTAACCTTCGAAAACAAGGTTTAACCAATGAAGGGTTGATATTTTTTTCATAACAGAACTCACTAAAATAAGGAGGTTTTATTCGCATAGTCAAAGATGATGCACTCCACCGCAAAAATATAGTTTCAACTATCGATTCTACAACATTAGTGTTTGGAGTTGGCGAGAGATAATTTTTCGTGATGACATGAAACATTATGGGCGTAAAATCAGACCCCACAGGAGCATGAGCACACCTTTCAAAACAACGACATTGCCTTGAGGAATCGGATCCAGAATAGGAATAAAAATTTTAACAAAGATAGCTTATTTCAAGCGGAGTCCACTACCTTTATCATGGAGTATCATCATTGCTATTATTAAGGTGTCTATATATTCAAGGGCTTTAATGTTACGATTGTGCAACCTTCCCACAGCGCTAAAAAATAAAGTGCTGCATACTGTTCGACTTATCGGGAAACCCACAATGGCACCCATGGCGATACTCTTTCTCAAAAGGTAACCGTGCAGGCAACAACGAAGTGGTGTGGTGTAATTCGATAAGGAGTTAGACCAAGGCTTGTTTCATCAAAACGGAGCCTGGTCATAGAAAAGTAAGCAATACTCAAACTTCATACTTCAGGAAAAGCGTTCGGCGTTGTGGACCTCAAAGATCACCGCATTCTCCGCCCTTGCGCCATTAGCGACACTATTGCGCCTTAGTAAAATCGTGAGACGTCGCCGCCGCTGTAAACGTTTTAGGCGGAGTGACGTAGCCCCTATAAAGCGAGAAGCCACGCACCTGCGCGTGCGTCTTGATAGTGTCAAGCAGGTACTCAATGAGAACGGTGCTTAAGCCTGCGGCGTCGCCAAACTCAAAGTGGTCAAATTTATCGCACATGTGCCATTTCTGCTTGATGTGTTTGAGTAAGTCTTCATGACTTACCGGAGGATTGTCGAAAATGAATTCTTTTACGTTGGTATGGTTAGCGTTGGGGTAAATTCGCGCATCCAAAATATTCCTGCAATTCAAACATCTTAATTAGGGGAGTTGCATATGTGCATAACAAATTCCGTTCCCACCCCTGTGCACGAGAGGCTTGACACCGTGTTTGACGGCTTTCCCATAAACTGGGAGAGAAGTAGATCCGTCGGTCCGGGGTGTCTAGCGGACCAGCCCCACCGCCTCCCCCCGATCAGAAAAGAGACCCAGACCTCTCAAGCAAGAAAAGCCGCACCCGGCACATCGCCCTTTTCAAATCCACCCCCTGGGACGAGGGCCTGTGACCCAACCGCGCACGCCCTCCCCCTCCTTTCCTCTCCTTTTCGCTCCTGTTTGCTTCTCTTCTCTTCCCTTTGGGTCGCTTCGTCTGTCGGTTTCCGCGGCTTTCAGCCCTCCGGGCGTGGTCTGCAGGCCGTTTCCTCGGCCGTGGGGGCCGCCCCCCCCTCGTGTGGGCTCCACTCCGCCGAGCTCAGCGGCTGGCTGTCCTCGCCGTCGCCGTCGTCGTCGCCGCTGCCCGGCCGTCGGCCTGGGAGGGGGCCGTCGGCCTCGCCGAGGCCGCCCGGGTGGGCGCCAAAGAAGCGGTAGCAGACGGCCTGCGCGCCACGGAGAAAATCCAAAAGGGCCTCGCCCGGCGCCCCGGGGGAAAGGACCTCCCGGAAGGCATCGGAGTCGTCCGGAGGCTTCGCCGCCTTGCCGTGCGCGGCGCTGTCGTAACAGAGCAACCGCTCACCGCCGCGGAGGTCTCGGATTTCTAAAAGCGCATTCTGCATGGTGGTGGTTTGATCGTGATATGGTCGGACCCCTTTCACAGGGGGGAAGGGGTGGGTGATAGTAGAAGCTAAACGAGGTCGCTTGTTCGTTAGATTACCTGTCAGGCATTGCGCAAATAAAGAAAAACAGAAACTCAGGGAGAGAGGTATAAAAAGATCTCTGCCAAAAATCGAGGATGTACTACTCGTTTTGCACCCAAGGTGTCGGATGTTTTGGCGTACCTCGAAAATAGAGACGCCGACTATGAAATAACACCAAAAGATAGAGCTTACAACATTTAATTATTATAGCTTCCTACAAATCTATTACACAACAAGCATACGTAATTTTCCCATCTTAGCTTTCCATTTTCTCTACTTATTTTCTTTTTTTTTTTGGGGGGGGGGAGGGAGATCATCCTCTATTTATAAGAAAAGGTTTATTGACTCAGATTCACAGTACACTTTTTTTCACTCAACGCATTTCCCCTAGCATTCCTTATCCTTCTTCAGTAAGAAATTGAAAAGATAAAAAAATAATATTCATAAATACGGAAAAAAGGGCTCACTGAACACACGCGATGCAGATGGTGATACATTGCTTTTTCCTACGTGTGATCATATTTTAAATATCTAGGTTCTTGCTTCCCTCTGTATTCTTCTCTCCCCTTTGTCACCCCGTAATATGTATAAGGGCTAGAAAAAAATATTGCTCAAATGGTTAAGCGAGAGGACCACTTTTTCCCTTTTTTGATGCATCACCAACAAACATCCATGCATACCCCTTTGTGGGGCCCGCTAACAGGTAAGCGCAGACTGTCCAGAAACATCAGGCTGTACATGGCTCCCATTTAACAAGATATTATTACTTCTTTTTTATTGTTTTGTTTCATCTCATTCATACGTATTATCCACCAAAAAGTTAAAAATCTGCTCATGAGTAGCGCACCCTGTTGGAGTATTCCCGTTTAACCGGTATCGGTCCACGGCAACACAAAAGTATGCAGATACTCTTCATACGTGAATTTGAAAAGCTATTAATATGATAAAGGAGAAAAAAAAAGTACTAAGAAAACACAAACCCAGATGCGTACACATCATTGTAGAAAGTAAACGAACTCCACCCTCGCCCTACATTCCTCGACATGTGCATACACAATACAATAAAGGAAGCACTTAGCTGGTTAAGTGAATTTTTAATAATAAAAAAAACTCAAGTGGTGTTTAGTGATTGAAAAAATTTAAAAGTAGGGGAAGGAGAGGGAGGGATCTACAGTACAACACAACTCCCGTTCGATTTGCGGCGCTTGTACTTCATCAGCCATTGCATTTGGACCTGATTGATAGCCCCCCTCCGCTTCGAACGAATCTTTTCAATCGCATCAAGGGGGTCCATCTCGTTGAACTCCACCATTGCCAACGCCACCAGGATGGGCGCGCGGCCGAGGCCCGCGACGCAGTGCACCCCGATCGTGCTCGGCGCGGAAAGCTCCCCTCCCTCCAGCTTCGCCTTCTCCGTGTGGAGGAGACGAAGCCAGCTCTCCACGACCGAGCTCGGCGGCGCGCCACCGTCGTCGAACACCCAGGTATGCACCTCAATCCCACTCCGCACGACCATGCTCTTGTCATAGGTGGGGCCGCACACCTGCACAAGGTGGCGTACCTTCTGCCGCTGCAACTCCTTGATGTAGATCGGCAGGTTGCTCGGCGTCGGCGCGTCCAGGATGAGCAAGTTGAAAAGAAGCTGGGACGGGTTTTTGCCGTTGTAGCATTCAATCAGAGTGCTGTTCATCTCCATGGTCGCCTCGGTGCTCGAATTGGCTTGGTCCCTCTGTGGTTGTTATCGCGTTTAGACAAGAATCTCTGTATTAAATCCGTACGAATATACACACTTTTCGTATCAGGCTAGATTTAATACCCTCTTAACGTATAATCGCTTATAACGGGGAACAGACACCGCTAGGTTGATCTGATGAAAAGGAACTCAAAAAAGATATAAAAACGGTGTCACGTGTGTCCGTCTTTGTATCTGACTTGACCGCGTACGTCAGCGTTTAGTATTTTATTCAAAATTTTCCGTTCTGAATGTTGTATCGTCAATGTCTGAACAGCGAAAGTGTGAATGCGCGTATATGGGAGTGAAATCTGATGAGTCCTGATCACTGGGGGTGGCAAATGGTGAGAGATAAAATGCTTATTTGGCCAGTTTCCCTTGATGTATTACTAATGCAATTAGTCCTATTATACTGCGAGGCACATTCAAGAAAAATATTGGCAATACTTCTATTTTTTATAAGCAAAATGCAAGTCCTATCCTGAAAACAATTTTACCCTTCCTTCGTCTTTTTTAACAATTAACACTTTCAAGGTGTTTATTGTAGTGGCTTAAAGAAAAAAAATCAATGATATCGCATAAATTTGTGTTCGTAACTAAGATGGTGGTTCTATTTAAATCATTGGAGATCAACAAGAGGACAGAAGGAGAGAATACGTAAGCAAAGGTAACAAGAGTAACAGCTATTCGGAATCTAAAAGAAAACATTACACAACATTTTCTCTCACGAAACAACGCGGAATACTTGTATGGAAAAGTTATCGAAGTCCCTTTCGACGAAAAGAATGCACATAAGCCAGAAATCGAAAGAAAACTCCACCTTAAATTTGTAAATTATCGTTTGTTTATATTTGCTTGTCAGACCGGCCTCTTCACAGGACTGAAAGCTTACCAACATACACAGATGTGATCAAAAATGGGGTAAAGCAGCCCCTAAAAGTCTAAATCCGGTGGTGCGACATGGTTTCCTGCCTCGGCTCTCCTCATCCTCCCCCTATACAAGCGCTAGAAGCGAAATTTCGACCACTCACCACATTCAGCTCTGAGATGTGGAAGGCACGACAGCGGGTAGCTCTCCTAGGGGTCTCGCGTAACACGAGCAACCCAACCTTATGGGAAGGGTAGCCGATCGCGAGGAGGAGAGCGAACGAGCGCCTCTAACTAACTGTACGCGTCGAAATCTAGCAGATTGGCGCGCCGCATGCCGCTTTTGGTCCAAGAATAACTTCTCGACGGCGCACGCTCAATAGCCTGGTCGCTGTCTGGGGATTTGAAGATAAGGTTGCTCACAAGACATGTGGCTTCCACCAATTACTTCTCCGTGAACGCGTTGGAGTCCTCTTCATTGAGGAAGCGCTCTATATTTGATAGATTTTGTTTTTCTTGTTGGATACGCTTTAGGCGCAGATCACTCCCGCAGGGCTATAGCTTGCCCTCCTCATCACTACCTGATAGCATAAGTCTAGAACATAGAAAAAATAGAATCCCCCCCTCACACATACACACTTTTCCAAAACATTTGATCACAATTTATAATTATGTGTTAAAGACAATGGAGTACTTCTATCTCTAGAGCGCGTTCCAACTACCAATAAACGCCAAAAAACGTGGCTGTGTGCAACCTTGTACGTCCCTAGCACAGGTTTCTAAGTGTTGATCAAAGTGTTCATTGACTGTACGATTATATATATATTTACAGGACTCTGTAATGCAGTAAGACTCATTAAAGCATATAGTTCGAAGAGAAAGAAAAGATATCCTTGCCGAAGTGATTCACACTCCACATGAGGATAAATTTGTACTCTTGAATACTCCTTAAAGGCGACTGCTACTGGAAAGGTTTTATGAGAGAGGGGTTTAAACGACATTATCTTTCAAGGTAAGGTGTTAAGTTCGTGCGAGAATAGGTTTACTGAAGCATGAATATCAAAATGTACACCCACCCGGAATGGAGGAGGAGGCTATAAAGGCAACATAAATGAAAAAAATAGAAAAATTCCGTAAGACGGGAAAGAGAAGCCCCAGTACCAGAACAAAATAGAACACGCTCAAATCCCCCCTCTCCCTCCCCACTTCGTTTTACATGACCATGCAAATGGAGCATGCTAAGGAACCCTCCGACCTTTGATTACGCGGTTTGTGTCTCATCAACCATTGCAGCTGAACTTGGTTAATTGCACCTTTTCGCCGCTCCCGGATGTAGCCAATCGCATCCAGTGGGGCCATATTCGCGTACTCCACCAACGCCAGCGCCACGAGAATGCAGGCGCGACCGAGGCCAGCAACGCAATGAACGGCTATCGTCTGGGGTGGGTTTTTGCCTGCTTCTTGTGAGAGCAAGTCGAGCCACTTGTTCACCACCGCCTGCGTAGGGAAGGCACCGTCATCGAAGCCCAGGCTATGGACCTGAATACCGCTTTTCTCGACCAGCTGGGAGTTATAGGTTGGACCGCACGCTCGCACGAAATGGTTCACCTGATGTTTTTGCAGGAAGGCTAGATAACTGGGAAGACTACTGGGGCTCGGTGCGCCCATGATAAGAAAAGAAAAGACATGCTGCCCGGTGTCGCTGCGCCGGCACTCTATCAGTGTCGCGTTAGTTTCCATGGCAACAACAACAAGAAAACAACGACAATGGTATAAGGATGGGATGTGACCTTCCTCCCCCTTTAGAGTTACGAAAGTCTTGTGAAAGTCTACAACAAGGAAGGAAAAGCGAGAGAGACAAGCTTACCTCTCCATATTCGCAGGCCGACGTAAGATACCAGTGGGGCAGGAGTCTTCTTAATGGAGGTTCCAATAATATATCCGAAGGAACATTGAGATGCAACACCGTATAACAAATAAAAGACGCAAAGCACATAAAAAAAACAAATTACAATATCGTATCACACTCTGTAAGAACGCCAATGAAAAAGAGTTCATCATACTGACTTGACTCTTCGATGGAAAAGAACTACACTATGTTAACACCGAGACGTCCCGAAGCGGGAACATCGCGTTCTCCTTTAGCAGAGACTATCAGGGTTGGCGTCCCTCGGCGTTTCTTTCATCTCAGCCAAAAGAGGCGTCGGCGGACCACAGCCCGTGGGCTCCGTCTCCAGCAGGGAGGCCTTTAGGAAGGAGGAGCCCACGCCAGCGGCAACCAGGCTCTCGGCGAGGATCCGCACCACATCGACCGACAGGGAGAGCCCCGCCTGTCGGACAAAGACACCCAATGCCGTGGCCAAAGCCGTGAGCTGCGTGCGACGGTGGGCGTAGTGCACAAAGGCGGGTCGGCGCTTCGCC